TATGGCACAAACATTTTGGTTTCTTTTCATATTAACCAATGGTTTCATGATGTGGGCCACAGTGGTTGCCTATCGGGACCCACAATCGGGATTTACACTATCGAGTTGCATGTTTTGGACACTATGCAACATAGTATGGACGGCACAGTTCTATGCTATGACACCGGTATCTGTAATAGTGTTTTACGTTGTGGCCGCTTATCTTAAGTTTAAGTTTAGAGAAGTTTACAATTTATTAGACTATATCTTGAAAAAACCAAACTTTGCATTATTAGAGAAAACAATGGCTGATCACAACTATCTGACAAAGTTTACGGTCGATGTCAACAATAATAATAAATTTATTATATTTGTAGTCTACTATTTCGGTACGCCAGCCATTGAAACGTTACTACACATAACCTATGCCGAGGACACTATACCTATGGTCCGATTGCCAGTAGCCTTTATATTTGCACTATTGATTGGTGTGGTGTCGATGCTCAACTTGATGTGCACCTGGGTCACCAACAATGCCCATAAACCCTACAAATTAATGTATTCATATACTGCTAGACATAAGTTACCCCTTAGAAAACAATTGAAATTATTGTTATTTATTGAGCGTTTAAGTGGACCAGACATTGGTTTTTATTGTTATAATTTGTTTCCAATGAATAACTATGAGTTTTATCTTTATGTGGCCGGAGTTGTGTCCAATTATTTTCTTATAATTGGTTTTATTTAATTTTTCAATTAAATTGCAGATAATAATACTAGTTTTGTTATATATAATATCAATACAATTTTTTATAACTCATATTTCTCATATTTTATTATTTAATAAGATATTATACTGTAGTTATGATGTATATTATTTAATATAATTATTTATATAAATAATTAATTTCTTTATTAAAGTTTATCAAATATCAGTATCATTTGTTATCAATTATTATTAAATGATAAATAAAAGTTTTATATAACTATATACAGTAATTATATAAAGCTACTTACTGTAAATTTGATATAATAAAATTTATTTTAAATTTAATGAATGCTACACAGATAATAAATTAAATAAAATCATATTCAATATATCATATTAATTATTAATATAAATTTCTATGAATTGCTTTGAAAATTTATATATTTTTAGTAAATTATATTTTTTGATAAATAATAATATTAATATAATAAATAGCAAATACACAGTAAAATATTTATATATTTATTTTTCATTTAACTTCTATTTAGTATTATTGAAGCATTAATATTATAGTATATGATATGTGAGCAAAATATTAGTTATTTTAAAAAATATATTTTATTATTAAAGTTTATTATTATTATTATTATATAAAATACCTTTAAATAAATAAAATTGAAAATTATTAAATATGAGTATTAAAGTAATTTATCATAACTCAAATAATAATTATATTTGTTATTTATTTTGTTAGTTTAATGAATGCATTTTATATTGAATAACATGGTATATGTAGACAAAAAAATCAATATCAAGATAGGCCCACTTTATTACACAATAATATAGTTTATTAATGTTTGTATTGTATAAATTTATTTATACAATATATATTAAATGGAAATAAACCTTTCAATTAACTCAATACTACTATCCTTTAATGACATACAAATAATCTTTTATTTGTTATTTATTTAAAGCATAATTTACTTTAGATATCAAAATACTGTACAAAAAAAACACTTTTTTTATTTATAAACTAAGCATTTTTTCTAAGACTATTAAATATATATTTATATATATATATTTTATTAAATACCAAAATAAATTTTATACAATAAAAACAAAATATTTCTATCTATAAGAGTATCTCTCCATTGAGGCGCCAAACATACAAACATATATACTGTATAATACTATATAATATTATTTATTGTTACACTACTCTCTGTCTACTTAACTCTCTATTAAAAATGCATTTTATTTTTAGATCCAATTCATGAATACTTTTTTTATATAGATATAAACCGAAACATATATCAAACATTCACTTATATATACAGAATATTCTGTGTTTGTATGTATACAATACTACAGTATTGTTGTTAAACGTAAATGTCATCAGTAGTAGTAGTAATAGTAGTAGTAGTGGTGGTGGCGCTGTTGGTCGTCACAAGCAATCAAATATTATACATACAGGCGCTCACTGTTTGACACTTAAACATATAACATACACACAAACACAATGTTACCAATTATTTGTAGGTTGACTATTGTTATTATAATTGTAGATAAAATTTAACAAACACATATTATATTGATTAATTATTAATATAATTTTCATAATACATATTTTATAGTTATGCTAATTATTTATACCCAATAAAAATATTCATAAATAGTCTTTTGGACAATAATTTTTAGGAAATATGTTGAACAGGGAGCTTATGGAGAGTACATAAGTGTATGAAAAAAATGTAACACTATTTTGAATCCATTGAAAGGTTGGCTCACATGTGTGTTGTCTGTGTTAGAGATCGGAACCTAAGCGGGAACCGTCAAAATCCGGAACCGTAACGGTTTTGGTTCCTATCAGACAATTTCGGTTCAATTCCTAAATTTCGATTCCGGTTTTCGATATGGTTTCAGTTGTAAAATACAATTTCTAATTAATTAAATGTTTTTGTTATTTTGTTATTACTTTATATTATAATTATGATAAAACATTATATAAATTATTAAAATCTCGTTACTATTATAACATTAATTTACACTTATTATAATTACAGAACCAATATTCTTATGCTTGAATCAAATTGAAAACCAATTGGACAGACATTAAAATTATAGAACAGTATAGTTATAAAATCAGACAAATCGAAACATTTTTATATCCAGATTACTATTCAATATAAGGGTGTTATTAAATTATACATATTTCGCGGGTTAACTAGTATTTTAATAAAAAATTGACATATTTTTAAAGTATGTGACATAACTACGGTTCGGTTTCTGGTTTTTTTTGCTCCGACCGGTTCCGGTTCGGTTCGGTTCCTGAAATATGCTTCGGTTCCGAATTCTAGTCTCTGTGTATGTGTGTGTATATGAAAATTGACGGCCACTTGTGTTGCAATCATTATAATATCATAATATCAAACTGTTTTTGTATATATGATATAATAGCGTATAATTAAACAATAATTTTATTTGTATTTCGAGAGAAATAAAAAGTTTTATTTGATATGATTTTATTTTTTTTAAATAAAATTATATAAAACGATATATAGTATACTTGCGATGTATTACTACTGTATATCACACTAACAGCCAATGACTGTATGCTTTTTTCGGTGATATATTGATTAGTAATGTTTAATGTGTTTAATATTATGATATTATTATTTTATGTGTGAATATACTGTATTAATGTGTGTTTAATGTGTCTGTAATGAAAAATCATTATTTAAAACAATTTTCATATAATAATATTCTTGGAGTTTATCATTAAATTATAATTTTTTTGAAATTTATCAAATATTATCTATAATTTAAAAAGTGTATGAATTTATACTACATTACATTAATTTTTACAATATATACTATCATATTCTAAAAAATATATCATACAGGTAAATTAATTGATTTTTTAAATATTGATGTTATTTATTAGTTAATTAATAATAATTATCATAATTATATTGACATATACTATATATATATATATAAATAATTATTGATTGGTTTTTTATTAGTGAGGTTAATAAATGACAAATTTAGCTATTAACAATTTTTAAGCATTTATCACATATATATATTTCAATTTTATTTTGATATATTATAATTATAATATTATATATTGTTATTTTATCATTTGTAAAAATACACCTTGATAATTGTTCTTATTTAAAAAAAATTATATAAATTTTATAAATGTTTAATTTAGATTTAATATTTATATTAGATTATAAATATTAATAATATCATATACTGCATATATTTATTATCTTTTTAATTGTTTAAACGTGTTGTTTATGTAAACTTTATATATAATAATATGATTTACTGTATTTATGATATTTAAATTTATATATATATGATATATAACTATAAACAATTCATACATAAATTATCAAGAAATTGATGAAAAATATTGATAATTTAGTATTAGTATTGTATTGTTAAGAATAATATACAATTTAGTACAAATGTATTATTATTTTAATGACTATTTGTTATTAGATTATATCAAACATTTTTTGTAGTCATTAAGCAATTGTTATTTACAAATGCAAAATCATTTGATTTTTTTAACTCATAGTTTAAAAATATATTAAATAGTTTACAAATACTTTAGTGTCGACAATAAATTATCACTAATTAGAGTAAAGAGAGAGAGAGAGAGAGAGAGAGAGAGAGAGAGAGAGAGAGAGAGAGAGAGAGATGTCATGTTATGAGATAATTATAGACTTAATTTTGAAAAAACTAATAAAATTAAAGATTATTTTTTTCTACTGTTTTACACGTGATTTCTCATCTAATAATTCTGGAGCCCATTCCTTATAGCCATGAATAACATACAGTATATAATATTTTGGAAAGTTATCAAGGTTACTATGTATATAATGTTTTGTATTAATGTAATGTTATTAAGAGTTAATTTGCATTTTTATTAATTTGAATGATATGTAAGAATCGCGCCGTACGACACCTAACATACCATTTATACACATACCCACACACACACACACATGTAATAATAACTATACGTTTGTTTTAGTTATTCCCCCCCCCCTCTCTATCTAACTGCCTGTCCTCTTATTTAGCAAATCAATTCCCTCCCGAAACAATATACCGGTACATATCATGAATGACATCATAATATGATACATATATGGGTTTAAATTATACTTTATAATATTGATATATTAATTGCAATATATATACCATTAAAATATCAAATTTATAAATCAAATTATTCAATAATATATTGTGAATAATATATCAAATGATTTATTATATTTTAGTGGAAAATTATAGCAACTGATTAGATAAATATATAAAGTTTTTATTTTATTTTATACATATTAGTGCTTTTAAAAACTTAATTGGATCTCTAAAACTAGATAAAGTAAAAAATTGTATAAAATACTTATTAAATAATTTATAATTATTTATTATACAGTGTTTTGAATCTACCGGTGCAACACTTGTAGGCAAATTTGGACAATTAATCTTCACATTTATAAAGTAAGATAGTTTGATTCAAACTGTTTGAACCACTGACCCACACATACACCCATCCCCACAACATGCCGTATCTGTTGACTCCTGAGAATGTGCCGGTAGTTATCATACCCGATGAGCTGAGACACTCGGAACGGGTCGAGCGTCTCATTAAGCGTTATAATGACAAGTTTGAATCGAAACCGATGTTTTTGGTGCGAGTGCCCGGTCGGGTCAACATTATTGGTGAACACATCGACTACGTGGGCTATTCAGTGTTTCCGATGGCCCTCAAACAGGACATCATAATGGCCGTATCGGTGAACAATACGCCCAACATTGAGCTAACCAATTTGGAGGCCAACGAGTACGGCGACATAACATTGGATCCGACAAACCTGGAGTTTGTACAACCGCCTCAATGGTACCACTATTTCCAGTGCGGCTATCGTGGAGTTGTCGACCGATTCTGTAATGGCCAGCCACCGCTCGGCCTAAATGTTGCCGTTCACGGCACGATACCACCCGGTTCAGGATTGTCCAGTTCGTCGGCGATGGTGTGCGCCTCAGCTTTCGCCACAATTATGGCGTTTCACCAAAAAACCAGTTAATATATATAATTAATTGATTATTCAAATGTTTTATATCTAATTTACTGTTTTTTTTACTTTTTTATCTATAGATTTGTTGTCAGTACCCATCAATAAGCTAGAAATCACTCAATTGTGCATTAAATCTGAACGATATATTGGCACCGACTCCGGTGGAATGGATCAGGCGATTGCCATATTGGCTCAAGAGGGCAGTGCCAAGTATATCGAGTTCATACCGGAGCTGACGGCCGTCAACGTACAGTTGCCGACTGGTGTCAACTTTTATATATCACATTGTGGCGTATCCATGAATAAGGCAGCGACCGCTTACTATAATACTAGAGTAGCTGAAACACGACTGGCCGCTGCTGTGATCGCCAAAAAACTTAATATATCGGGCTATAGATTGGGTGATCAGCTCTGGGTTGTACAACAGGCCAGTGCTATACCGCTCAGTCAAATGGGTGATAAACTTAAAGAGATCTTTGATATGAATAAGGAGTCGTACTCTAAGTCAGATTTAGTGACAATTTTAGGTATGTGTTCATTGTTTTGACATATGTTTTGTTTTGGTTTTTTAATTTATTAATTAGTTTTATGTTTATATTTTGTAAACTTTGTGTTTTTAAATGAAATCAAGTGTTTCCAGAAATATATTTGCGAAATATATATATATTTATAAAAACATAAAAAAAATAATTTTTATTTTATGACGTCTTTACAAACCAGTGATCTATGGATTTGATTTTGTATTTTTTATATTTAACTAGTGATGTGTGTACTGATTATAGTTATTAAATAACAATAATTAGTATTATATTTGTTTAGTCATGTTATTATTAATAATATTGTATAGTCATGTATGTCATAACAGACACTATTAATTTAGTACTACATTACTATGGTTCATGGGAACAGGTAGATTAGGATAGTATGTCCCAATGATTTCGCATCTAATAAAATAAAATTTAATAATGATAATAATGATAATTATTATTATTAACATTTTAGTTTAGTCGTTATAATATAAGTTTATTTATATTTTATTAATTCATTAACTATTAGATAACTTTTAGACTTATTTGTATCAAATTAAAGTTAATTTATTATAGTAAATTTATAACTTCAAATAGCAATATATATATATATCAATAGGATGTTTACAGTATATCTTAAATTTAGGTCACTATCATTGATGATTTTTATTGTCTGTTCAATTATATAAAATATATTAGTTTTTATTTTACTTTTTTTCAATGGTTTTGATTTTTTCCTGTAATCCTGAGATTAAACAGTATACAACTGATTGACGATTTTTCCAATTAGCTATTTATTGCATTCAACAAATTTTTTATTAAAAAAAAGTTAGATATACTATAAAATAAACACAAAATTTAATTTATTCTTTTATAATATATCTATAAATTAATTAAATACTTATATTTTTCTATTTGGTTGGATAGGTATCGATGAGGAAGAGCTGGACAGAGTGTTTTTGTCTCGTGTGTCCGAACCGATCGATTCATTCAAACTATACCAAAGAGCACTGCATGTCTACGAAGAGGCCGCTCGGGTACATGAATACCGCAAAGAGTGTGAGACCAGTGCCGACACTCACCGTTTGGGTCAACTAATGAACGAATCGCACCGAAGCTGTCGCGATCTCTACGAGTGCTCGCATCCGGCGCTCGATAAACTGGTCACTCACGCCCTGTCCTATGGTGCCATCGGTTCACGACTAACCGGTGCCGGTTGGGGCGGTTGTATCGTTAGTCTAGTCCCAGTAGAAAAGTCAACAGAGTTTGAGTCAATGATGAGTAAACACTCGAAATTTAACTGTAAGAGTGGGCCCTCCAGTGGAGCTGTTATATACAAATTATTTTAATTTTGTTTTTTTTTTAGTTTTTTTAAACCATATCTTTTCAGCGATTTATTTAATAATTAATTTTCCAATAATTAATTATTATTATAAATAAGCACTGATTACGGTTTATAGTCGTTTATATAATTTATAGAAAAACAAATTTCCAAATCATTTTATCACTAATTTTAATTTTTTTAAAAACTCAATAATAAATTTTTTTATGGACCTAACCTTTTTCATAATAGTCATTGAAAAAGATTTATTATATTATTATATATATTCAGTTGCAATATAGTCTAAATCATTGATTTTATTTTAAAATTTAAAATATTTTTATTTTATGATATCATTTGTTTGAATTATATTTCTATTTTTTCTACTTTTAATTTACACCCAAAATAAAAGTTTATATAATATTTTAGTTATTATTACAATAATGATATATTTTAAACGTCTCAATACATCTAAAAAGTCATTATATATTTTTTGTTGCTTTTTATCTATTATTTGTTTTCATTAATTCTCCAAAAAAAACATTAATGCATCACATTTTAAAAATGTCAATCAATAAATGCCTAAATTTTATTAATATAGAAATAAAATGTTGAATATTTAGTCAAACAATGTCTATCCTATAAGTATAATACAATTATAAATTGTAACCAATTGATGCCAAATATCCAAAATTACATTTGAAAAATAATACAATTGTAATTGGTTTTTATTTTGTATAACTTTTAATGAAATTTTTAATGCAATATCAATTTAAATACACAAACAAACAAAATTGTGAGATTTATTATGTCAATTGTTACATTTGATTACAAAAAAATAATTTGTGTTAAAATACTAGTTCATTATATTATTATTGAGTTTAGATTTGCAATTAAAATTATAGTGAAATTTGATATTTATTTATTGAAAAACTGATTTCTTAGATATATTAGATATTAATAATTTTATTATATAATTTATTATATATTTATTTTAAATATTTGTAATCACATATTAATGTATTTATTTCTGATTTTTTGCAATAAATTATTTTTTAATTTTTAAATTGGTTTACTTTTTATTTAAATAAAACAAAGATTTTAACTATTTTTTATATTGAAATTAATAATACTTGTAATATAAATTGTGTATTTAATTATAATATACTTATTAAAAGCGTAATATTAAAATATGAATTATTATTTATTTATAATTACCGGTAATAAATTATTGTGGATATCAATGTTAGCAAATATTTTAACATATAATTAGGTTTAGAAACAAAACATTTAATTCAATAATAAAACTAATAGAAAATACAAAAATAAAAACTATTTAATTATAACATAGAATTCAATTAATTGCATAAAAGGATATTCATTGTTAGTTTTGTCTATTATAACATCAAAATGTAATCTAATTTAATAAATAGAAAATTTATTTAAAAAAAATTAATTTTGAATTATTTACAGTATATGACTGCTACATTATATGATTATATAAAATTATAAAACACATTTTTTTCAAAAAAAAGTTTATTTTATAAATATATTTATAAATATACAAAATAATACTTCAATTATGTTAATAATAATAATAATAATATACCATTTAATAACTCGTATAATAAGTCACCAAAAGAGTTCACATTAATACATAAAAAATAAATATGATATATATATTTCAAAAATATTATACTTTATAATATAGTCTAAAATAAGATTCATATCAATTAATTTTATATCACATATTAGATTATAAACTTAATATTTATATTTAAAAAAATTATTTTTAATACTCTTTATATAAATATTAAAATTAACAATTATCTGGGAGTGGGAGGTAATAGTGATCTTATTTGTTTGGGTTTCAGTCGTATTTCACCTACTTTTACACGTTTTACTAAAACATTATCATCTCCTGGATTACTACTCAAGTGGTTACTATTATTATGTGGTTTTGGAGTAACTTTGGGTGTGAACGGTACGGGTATAGCCACCGGTACCAGTGGTTCATTGGTCGGCATCATTATTGGCAAACTGTTCAAAAAATGTCTATTTTGACTGACATTACGGTTATTTATATTAAAGTTGTTAAGCGATGGCAATATTTTCATTGATAAACTCTGTTCCTGTGGTTTAGTTTTTGGCTGAGAAGATAGCATCAGTAGGTCGTCCTCATTGTCCAATGCATTCAATGTATTATAAAAAGCGTTCAATTCATGCATATCTTCCATAACACCAACTAATGGTTGTTTCTTATAATTGAATCTCCCTTTCCATGGCTTGTACTCCCGGTAGTCATTCAATGGTAATGAATTTAAACCAGATTTTTCTTTCTATAATCAAATAATAATAATTAAGGAAAAAACATTTTAATAGATTATATATATATATATATATATATATATATATAGTTTGTCAATTATTTTATAGGGGTATATTTACTATAAAATCTTTAATGTTATTCAATGAGTATTTATTGTTGTTGTTATTATTGTTGATGTTTGCTAAAGACTGTTGTATTATATGATAATCATGCGATTGATGTGGCAATAGGTGCCGGTGCTTCTCCTGGTTTATCTGTATATTTTTATTAAGGTTTTGTTGTTGATATTGTTGTTGTAATTGTTGTTTTTGTTGATGTATTTGTTTTTCAAGTATTTGTTTCTGTAATTGTTGTCGATTTCTTTCATCGTTGGCCATCAATGTCATCAACTCTTTGCTTATTAGTTCGTAATCCGGATCCATATATTCCTCGTTAGTACTCGACTCGGGCCACAAATCCTGGCCATCGGTTCCCATAATTGTTTTCTGTGAGTTGATGTTAGACTCGGATTTAATATAAGATCCTTTGTCATTAGATCCTAACCTGTATTTTATTAGTCAATTAAAATATGTTTAAATTTATAAAAAAAATTAAATAACAGAAAAATTTATACGAATTAATTATATAAATAAATAATTTATAATAAATTTTAAAAACTTATGACTTAGTTATAACTTTTAGAGTCAGTGAACTTGATATATATATATATACAGTATACTATATATAACAAAAGTTTTATTGTATCATAAATAAGAGATAATTAAAATTATGCACTTTTGACAATAATCACGCATTTTTGGATATATTTAATAATATGTTATTAAAAATTTAGTGATTAAACTTATAGGTTGGGTTTGATGTCATTTTTTTATTAATATATAAATACAGTATATATTTATTAATAGTAGCATTAAATGAAAATATCTTAACAATACGCGACATACAAAATGTTATAATTAAATACACATCACATGTTTGACCTGTTTTCCCAAAACTTGAACCCTATTTCCACTTGTGATGACTACTATAATATTATTAGGCAAACACTACTAATATAAAAACACCAATTTTTTGTAATTCATAGTAAAGTAATTTAAAATATTTAGATTTAAAAAAATAAGTTGAATTAAATAAACATTAGTATAAAAAATAAAGTACACTTTTAGATCCGTTTTAATAATTATATAAAAATTTTAATAAATAATAAATAATTTTAAATATAAATCGTTTTTACATCATTCTTATATCACTATTAATATTTTAAACATTATTAATATAAACAGATTTTATTTTTTTGACATAAAAAGTATAATAGGTTTAATTTAATTAAAATTTTCAATAATATAATGATTAAGATTTAGATTAAAAAATATATGATTTTATTTTTATCACATAATTAAAACTTAAATCTGTATTATAATTAAAATATTATTTTTATCAAAATTAAAAATATAACTGTTTAGTATCTTATTATAGAAATATTTAATTTTATTTTTTATAATAACATTTTGCTATCTAAATTATTTTTAATTTTATTTTTTTAATATTTTCTATTTATTTATATGGATATATAATACTATCGATTATATTTTTTATGCTAACATAAAAACCAAGTATTATAGATTTAACTATTTTACATTATATTTTTAAAATATATTTTATACATTTATATTATTAATTGTTACTATTTTTAGAAGCCATATCTTATATTTATTGTAATATTATATAAATATTATGCATAAAAATTAAAAACAAACGCCTTTATTGTCAGTTTAAATCATTGACTAAACTCGTAATTATAAAATTAATTGGCAATAAAATATGAACACAAATTGCTAACAATATTATTATTATTACACAATTATATTTATGACCACTTTTGCTATTATTTTATATAACAGTTTTTGAGGTCATTCTAGTTTTGTATGATATATATAAATAATAAATATCATAAACAAAAACAACAATTATCGTTATAATGGATATAAAGTTTTTAAATTCTAGTGTAATAGCATTTTTAAAAGATAATATTACTAAAAATAAAAATTTATATAACGGTTTTTAAGATCTATTAACAATATTTAAATAATACTCAAACCAATCAATTTTAATTAATATACGGTAATAGCATAGAAAATGTAATTATATTTATATAAGTAATACATTACTCTAAAATTACATATTATTGATACTTACGGAACAAAATTAGGTATTATCTGATAGTAAGGCACCGGTTTGGGCACCAAAAATGGTACCCTTTTGGCCGGCAATATAATGGGTGTCGACACCTTTCTGATGATCACCGGTAGTGGTAATGGCACCGGTAGTGGCACTATATTTTTTACTCTAAGACTATGCAATAATGTTAAAGCAATCAACTTTTTCTTCAACTTTTTCCAATCATCACCAGAGGAATGGCATATCAGTTGAATCATTAATAATAATAATATTAAAAATATATTATAATTTAATTTCATTGTCACTATTCTTTAATATTGTATTATTGTCTAAAAATTGTATATATTTTGCACAACAAATAGAAATTATAAATTTTCAAATAGAAAACACTGTTTGAAAAGTTAAACTAATATGAATTAAACAACAAATTTAGGTTTCAATTGATATAATAATACAATAAACATAAAAAAATATAACAATTAATCAGTTGATGTGTTTTACATTTTTTATTATTATTTACAGTAAAAATAATATCATTCGATATTATTAGTAATGGTATTATTACTTTATTATTATTATTATTCAATTATTGGGAAATTTATAAATCTCTCAATAAAAAACTTTAAACTAATAAATATTTTTTTCATCAACAATTTGTGGAAATGTCTAATAAACACAAATAAAAATAAAAATAAATAAAGTGTAACATTTGATATTATATATATACTGTATAAAAATCAATGTTAAGATATGATATATACTATACTCTATATACAGTATATATAAGTAGATCTCTGAGAAAAAAAAGTGATGCAAAAACTCATTCAAACAGATGTAATAGTTGTGAGAAAACTTGTAATATTAGTAGTGAAATGTGTGCCACTATTTTTAACCCAAATATCAATTGAGATTATTTTTTTATTATTATTTATTTTAGAAATTTCATTTTGTTTGTGTAATTCTGATTTGATTTGGTTTTTTTTATTTAATTGGCAAAACATTAATAATTAAATTTTTGTGTTATTAATGTTTAGTAATATGTCTTAAAAATATGTTTATTAATATAGTCTAATATTAAATATAAATTAAATTTTGCCCGTATAATATTTATAATATAAAGTCTCTCTCTCTCTCTCTCTCTCTCTCTCTCTCTCTCTCTCTCTCTCTCTCTCTCTCTCTCTCTTTCTCTCTCTTACTCTTTTTCTCTCTATGTATGTGTGTGTGTGTTTAACCAGATATAATTAGTTTAAGTATTTTTTTTGACTAGCTGTCAATATTGTAAAAAAATTAATAATTTTATAACAAAAATATTTGTAAATATACATTAACTTTAGTTAAGAACTAATTAAAATATAAAATTATTGATTTATTAACTTATATGAAATTTATAGCATAAATAGCTTTACATATAGTAAATAGATTTTGTAGCTACAAATCATTATTATGTAATAATTTAAATATGTATTATTTTAGTATAAACATAGATTTAGACGTTTACCTAAAAGCATTTACATTACTTATATTTATAAAGAATATATCAATAGATATTTATTTAAAGCATTCTCTAATAGCATGTATGATATGTGTTATTACAGTATTTTTATATACACTATATAACCATGATATATTATCTAAAAAAATTAGTTAAATTAATATATTATAAATAGGTAATTGAACTCATATTTAATAAAAAAATATATTTTCTTTTCTTAATTATAAAATTTACAATTTTTAATTAATAAATTTGTCATTAAATTAAATATTACATTTAATTTGTATTAATTAAGTTAAGTATTGTTAATAACAACAAATATATTTAATTAATATTTATTATTCAAAAAAATAATAATCCTTTTATAAAATGTAATTGATGTGTTATTATAATTACACATTTATTAATAAAAAAATATATATATTATAGTTAATGTTATAAATTACTGTGTTTTACTACAATGTTATAACAATTACATTTTGTATGTAATCACTCAATGGGTGTCATTTTTATGCATAAGCCGTGCAATAGTTATCTTAGTTAGTGTTGAGGACGGGATGACATAATAATAATAATATGACATTTCCTATAGTTTTATTGATAATCACAATTATTGTTAAAAACAGGATTATGGGTTGAAAATATTTTTAGTATATATATATAATTAATGATTTAAGTTTGATTGAGTTTTTTAATTGATTAAAAAAAGTGTATAGTTTTGCAAACAACAAAATCATGATCTTGCTAATTTTTATTTTGGCTATGAGCCAGTTAGTTTTATCTAGCTATTATCCATATAATAATTTTGGTGGTAATATTTATAATTATAAAAAGGTATTATTATTATTATTATAACATTTTTAAATATAAAAATATTTAAAAAAAAATAATTTGTATACAGGATTATGGTTACAGTGATGTTGGATATGGTTATGACAATTATTACAACAATCATTACGGACATGGATACGGACACATACCATACCATCACTACAAAGGATATGGTATTGTTAAACAATTGCCACCCATTTATAAGGACGTGAAGCAACCGGTATATGTGGAACAACCGATAATCATACGTAAGATACCAGTGATTCATAAGAAAAAAGTAGTGACCGTCAAAAAGCAACCACCGATTTATGATACCAATCCTAAGACAACTGTTGTCGAAAAAGATTATGAAAAGGGAGGCCACGGAAAGTCACGGCCAGAGTATGATATTATGCCTAAAGAGGAAATGATGGAGAAGCCGATGAAAGATAAAATGGGCGGTGAGTACGAACCGGAGATGACTGAGCTGGACATTGATAGACGAAGAGAGGTTATGCCAGACAGGGATATGCCGATGAAAGAAGGCTTCAATCAGCAGAAGATAATGAATGAAAATAAAGATATGAGGGTTGAGTCCATGGATAGGGATAGTGAACAACCGGTTAGCGATTTTAATCCCAAAGATTTTGAACAATAATAATACTTAAGTAAATTAATAATTATATTTATTATTAAATAAATAAATATTAATTTGTTTGTTAAAAACTATCATTTTTATAGTGCAATAATACTAACAATAAAATTATTGATTTATTTTTCAATTATTTAATTTATTTTGTTGTTTTTAATTATTTGAAATATTTATAATATTGTTTATTATGTTAAATTTAAGTAAGTTTTAATTAATTATTTTTCTTAAACATATATACAGTATATATATATTTAATAGTATTATAAAATTTAATATTTAATACAAATACTAAAGTTGCAGTAGTTTTTAATGTAGACGATTATTATACACAAACGGATATCCATAAAGAAAAAACTTGGAAATTGACTGAAAAAATTATGATAACAATAATATCATAATATTAAAATAATATTGTATTAAAGGAAAAATAATACAAAAACATTTTTATCGATAAAATAAAGCATAAATACACCATAACTTTTAGTTTTCAAAATTGTATCAAAGTTTACGTCAATTGAATTGTTTGATGGAAACATTCATGTATTGTAATATATAGCTAATATTAGTTGACATTTATAAATTTATTAAATATACGATAATATTGTAAATATTCTATAATAATGTAATGTAAAACTAAACTACAATGGATTCATCGTTGTATGCATTTATTTGTAAACATTTCTTTAAATATATTTTCAATAAAAAAGATTATTACACTTCACTTGTGTAAGTGTTGAGTAAATTTCTGAAAAGTATTTTGATATTTAATCTTCAAACAAAAAATTTGAAACTTTCAGTAATAAAGTTTCTCAAAAAAAATATTTTGTAAAACTATTTCTATTATTAGAATATTTTACTAAATTTATAATACAGTACTACTGTACTATATCAACAACAAAAATCAATATATTATAATAAAACTAAAAATTTTTAAAAATAAAATAAAAATATGCTTACAATCTTAACTGTACTGTATTATAATAAATAAATATTAATACCTAAGATAAAAATATTTGTATTTACTATATGATTGAAAATTTTGCTATCTATTAAACACCCACACAATTGTTATTTTAATTTTACGGTTTATTTAATGAATAATTTAGTGATTCTTGATTTTATGAAAATTTATTTTTGCTTTACATAAAAAAATTACCATAATTAATTATTAATCATAGATCTACAATAAAAAATAGTTAATAATAACAAATTAAATGTACTATATATTTTCAATTATTTATTACTAAAAATATAAATAACAAATAACATATAAGTAAAATAAAACTATAGTTATTTTAGTTGTTATAATCAATATCATTATATGAGTCTTATAATATAAGAATATTTACGCATATCTATAATATGTTAGTGTAATGTAAAACTTATGTCACAAAAATTTATAATAATAAAAAAATAGATTTTATTATAAATACAACAAAATAAATGATCAGAAAAAATGACAAATAATAGCCAAATATTTAAGTTATGTATTAATAATGAAAGACAACAAAAAAATATACAATAATATAGATTTTGATACTTAAATTGTCTTTAGTTTGGTTTGTATTGCAAGTTATTTGTATTTGTCGTCTAAATATATAAATATATATATAAAACATATATAAAACAAATCTTCAAATTTCTAGATCTATATAACAAATACTAAGTATAAGTAGAGATTTATAAATATATAAGCATAATATGTTTAGTTTTTATTGTACTTGTATTTTATATAAAGTTAAACGTTATATTTATTATAAAGTTTTATTTTGCTTTTGTTGTTGTTGTTGTTGTAAATTATCGATTGTTGTAAAATAACAACAAAAACATGTTAAAATTTATATTAATTATTAGTTTATTTACAGTACATACTTTATTGAGATTTTAAGAATATATTATATATATATATACAGTATTTAATTAAATAATACATTATAATAAATATGTTTATGAAATTTTTAAAAATAGAAAGTTCAACATAAATGTTATGAAACATAATGTCTATTTCCCTAATGGGACAGTTAGGTGATACTTATAGATAAACTCTATCAATGCTTGTATTATACAAACAGATGATCCAAAAATATTTATTAAATAAATTTTTCCAAAGAAAATTTCCAATTTATTTATCATAAATACTTTTAATAAAAATTTTTAACCATTAATATACAATGGGATTACCATAAAATACATTACATCATACATTATACTATTTAATTTGAATACTTAGTAATTATAAGTAATTTTAATATCTCAAAATGAGTTGACGCAAATCATTTTAAAAATTAAAAAACAAATATAACAAAATATAATTTAATTAAATGTGACACAAAATGTAATTACATTCAAAACAAATTAGACAAAACAAAAATTAACTTTAAAATAATATTGAGAGAAATTTTCTAAAAAACTTTCCAAATTTCTTTTTTACAATATTTACAATACTCTCAAAAGTGATAACAAAAATTTACTATATATTCAGCAAATTTTTTTTATTATACTATAGTTTTGTTTCGGTTCCACATTATTAACGCAATTCAATAAATACAGTATTTATAGTGCATATGATATAATATATGCCTTTTTTTAGTTATTTCACAATATGTTATGAATAATATATTGCTAGATTATATTAAATAAATAAATTTTTAGACACATGGGTCATTTCATATAACAATAAATGCACAAAAAAAACAAATATAATAAAGAGATTTATCAATTGTTATGAAATATTTATTATCTTTGAAAAACATAGATCAAAAGTCAATGTACAGTAGGAAAAAATATGGTATTAATTATTTAATAAACTAATATTATTACATTATATTTAAATATATATATATATATATTACTATAGTATATATCGTTTGTTTTTAAGCGGAATTTACATTTGGGTCAATTTTATTAAAGCACATCATTTTATACACATATTTATTGAAATGTTATTTGCATTGTTAAATACTTTATGTTCAATACTATAAAAATAATATTTGCAAAAAAAAAGATTTTTACAACAAAAAATTGACATTTTATTTTAAACATCTATTATACATATTGAGTACAATGAAAAAAACAATTATTTTTTTTAATAAAAACAAACAAATATCATATGTATAAACAGTGTCTACAATATACAGTGTATTATTATATATAAATTGAATAATAATATTTAATATATATATATGAAAATTATGAAAATTTTTGATAATTATTCAATGTATTATATTAGCAACAAATCTATTTTAAAATTATTTTGTGATTAATGGCATATTATAGTTGATTAAATTTTTGTCACATAATTTAAAAAAATGTTTTTGTGATTAATCTATTAGTAAAAATCCCAACAAATTTGTTTATATTGTTAAACAACAAGTTTTTTTTAATTACAATTACTAATCCCTGGTTTATATGCATATACTTAATATTATATTATTTTTGTTGGTACATGTTTTGTTTAATAAAAAAATTATTTCAAAATTATATATATTTATATTTATTTATATATATATATATGTGTGTAACATAATTTAGTATACTATGTTAAATATTTTTTATCTATTATTTATTTTTTCTAATATAATTAATGTATTATTAAAAACAACAATTGGTGCCATATTACCAGATTTGGTAGATGTGCGTAAGTTTGACTTAAAAAAATTAATAAGTAATAAATAATTTGATTATTTTAGCTAAAAATAATTATATTTTCAAAAAATTGCATTTTATAATTATACACTATTTAAATGATAATTTTTAAAAAAAAAAATACTAAATGTATTATTATTTAAATCTGGATTTTAGGAGATTATTATTTTTAAAGTCTGTTTGAGTGACTAATTTAACTAAAATAAATTATTTTTGATAATTATTATATAATATTTATGTTAATAATGTACTGTATGAAAATTAGCATAGTATAAATATTTAGTAATCAGTAAAATTTAATTAATTAAAATATTTAAAATATGTTAGACATTTTATAAATTTATTATTATTATCATAATATAAATATTAACTATAAATAATTTCATATAAACCTTATTTTACATATTATATTTAGTATACAATATTATTAGTCATCAAAAAATAATAGAAACAACTAAATCAAATTGACTGTAAAATTAAGTCTATTTTATTCAATTATTTTATTATAAATGTGTTCAAATATGATGTTTATACTGTATATATTTTTGCTACAATGTAATTGACATTTTAAAATAGTTTACAATTCAATTTTGTTTACTGTATTTAGTTTGTAGTTTATGTTAGAAAAGTTTRTTCATATTTGTTTAATACTATTTTTAAATAAAATTTAAATTGTTTAATGAATTCATTAATAATAAATAAACAATACATAGTTTGCTTTCAGTATATTACAATATTTACAGTTATTTTATTCAATTTATTGTAAACTTGTATTGACTTACACACAAAAAAAGTTATATCTAAGTATTTTTTCATATTTACTGTTAAATAGCAATGCATTGCATATAAATAAATTGAATAACATTGTGTAGTATACAAATTATATAATATATATTTTATACATATATATATATATATATATGCTATTTTTTATTAAATACGATAAATTTATTTTGTTAATATCACTGTATTACACACACACACACACACACACACACACAATATTATATGCCATTTTTGTTAAGCAATTTCGGTAAACTATAAAGAAGTATTTAAATTAATAAAAAAATTTTTTGTGTAAATATACTGTACTATTATATTAATAATGTAATTAATGTACTGTATAAAATTATATATAAATTTGATATTATCTATTTTTTGAAAAATTATTACTCTATATATTACATAGTAGTTAGCATTAATTAGTTTTATGAATTTAATATACCATATTAAATATTATTATTATTATTATTGCATATTAGGTGGAAATAATGGTATAAAAGAGGTTCGTATACTATACTCGGATCAACAAACGGCTGATCAAAAGCAAACGTTTCCATTGATTAGGGGTCGGCCTATGTTTGCTGAAGTCGAGTTCATACCCTGTAATTTAATTTAACAAATAATAATAATAATAATAATAATAATAATAGATAAATACAAAATATAAATTATCTTAAATTATACTATAGAGAATAGTACCTTTTATTATTATTTTTATTATTGTTGTTGTTATAGTAAATAATAAATTAATTGAGTAATTAATTATGTGTTTGTTGTTTAGTATCAAATGGTATATGATTTTTGTTGTTTGTTTATGTTTGTGTATATTATTTTATAAATTTCTGTTTTGCAGCTTATATACCACAATTAACGTATTATATGGCCGTATCGGTAATTATGCCAAAACAAATACGCAGTACCGGTGCTGATGGTCCCTGGGTGCTGGGCTATCATCAGGAGCCGTTTACTGTACCCCTGTGCAGGCTATGTACTAATCGTAATCAATCGTATACTATGCCGGTTACCATATTTTTGCCCGATGATGGCTGGTGTGCTCAGGTATTATATTATTATAGGAAATATTAGTACAACTTTTTTTGATAACAATTTAACTGTTAATACAATTACAAAAACTTATATAATATTTATAACAATCTATTATTACAGTATATAAAAAAATATAATAAATTTATCAATAAATTTCTTTAAATATCAATATTTTATATGTTTGCTGAATAATATAGACAACTTTTGCTAGATCATTTATTTAAGATTAAATTTGTATTTAATATATATAAATATATAGTCTAAACATAAAGAATATATGTATTGATATAATATATTAAATTATTAATATTTAATATATTCTATAATAAGTTTTGTTAAAATAAATTATCGCCTGAAATGTGTGTTCGCCTAATGAATACTAAAGATTGAAAAAAACTTTAATAATGTGTTATATAATTGATTTTTTTGCTTAAATTCTATTTTTAAATTTATTTTTAGTAATTTATTTTATAGTTTAACCATTTTTTCCATTTCTATTTTTTATCTAAAGGCAAAATATTTTATAATTACACATTTTGTTTATTTCAATGATGTATATACTATATATACCATATAGTGTATAATATATTAAATATATAATATATATATATATAACAATATTATTTACACAATTTCTATTATTAGAAATTGTTGTTATTTACTATGATAATATTATAATTAATGAAACATTGATTATTGATGTTTATTTCACTTATATTACAAAACATAAGGGACCGGTGCCTACGGGTTGGAAAGTAGAGGCCATACCACAAAACCCGAAGGACAGCGACAATACGGATATGATAATTGGGATGAGTATCGATGAGAGAGCACACATAGTAATAGCCAATGCCAACACAAGCACCCGGTGCCGCAACATTAATGAATACATTAATTATACCATTCCTGTAGTGTTTTGACACACAAAACATTAACATAATATTGTTTGTAAGTGTGTCTGTATTTGTGTATGTTTTAACACTTAGTTTGGATATAATGTAAAGTATGAGCTGTGATTACACCCTCTATTAGATTGAAACTTAACTATTGTGTTAACACTACTAAAGCTACATATTGTTAAATATATACAGTACATCCACAGTATAGCATACAGTTAAGTGAAAACACTAATTGATCAATAATAAGCACTTAATAGTTTATTAATTAAGTGCAAAATTAATTATTTAGAAATTATTAATTATGGTGTAATACCATTAAAATTTAGGTTAGGTTGCGGGGCGTACACCAGGTTAGGTAACGTTAGGTAACACTAATTTACTATTACTTGACTACTATTGCTTGCTTTCTATGTATATGTTATACTGTATAACATAGACAGTGTATAGTTTTAGTTAAACTAATATCCTATAGAGGGGGTATACACAGCTCCTACTCTAAATTTTGCCCCTTAGTTTTATTTTAATATAATTAACTCCGTGTTTATCAATTGAAAATTAAATTAGTATATAAAATGTATGTCTTGACACTGTTTGATACAATTTTTTTTTATATTCATTACTAAACTTATTTTTGGACATTTAATTAATTTCTTTCTTCACTTTGTATATCGTATTTTAATTTTTTTTTAAAAAACCTAATTTACATTACAATATAATATACTAAATATCACATGAAATAAAATAAATTGAATTTTTATTAGACATTTAAATTAGAGTTTATTTGATTTCTAAGAGAAATAATTCATTATATCAACGAATAGAGCAAAAAATAATATATATTTGATATATCATAGAATAATAATAATATTGTAATTTAATAAAGAATATTCTATGAAAAAAATATTTATATATATGATATATATTATATAAATTCAATTAATTGGTGACTGTATTCAATTGATAGCATTTCATATGCCTATAGATAAACAAAACAAAATATTTACACAATTATCTATCAAATATTTCTAATATTAAAGAAATTTTATTTATTATATATTTAATATATATATATATATATATATAAAGGTAACACATTTATTATGTAAAAATGTTGCTAAAGATTAAACACATAAAAGTGTTTATAATATAAATTACAATACCTTCAAAATAAATGCCAAAACATACGTACTGTTAGTGTAGAGTATAGTACACATACGTAATGTAGTACTGATTTACATATGTATGTCAAGTGTGGGATTTCTATTGATTTTTAAAAAACAGTCAAATAAGAGATAAACCAATGAATAATAAACAATAAATACATTATATGTATGTTTTATCAATGAATTGTGAATATATTTTTCTCAATATGTTTTGTGATTTTAATATTGTTGTAAATATTAAACGTTAAGTTTATTTAATGTATTTGGATTTGCTTTTTTCTCTGATAAGAGTATTTTTAAATTGAAAAATATATATTATATAATAATTCAAAAAATATAAATAATATGATTTATGTTTTAAAGAATTCACGTAATCTAGACTGTGATTAGCTTAAGATTTTTAGTATTTTTTTAAATCTTAAATTAAACTTTAAAATTGTTTAGCTTAAGAGATACTTAATGGTATTATTTCATTATATAAAGTATATATTTTGGTTATATAGATTATATAATATAACATTATTAAACATAGTTTTAAAAACATTAAAGTCTAAATATGAATAGTAATTGTATTTTTTAAAAAAATGTTGTTAAACTTACAGAGAAATTTTTTAAGCAACACACAGTATTACAATAATACCAAAAGTAATTTTAAAACATTTAAACAAATTATTTTATAGTATATTTGACAATTTTTAAGTAGTTGTCACAGTAGCATATTTATCATTAAATAATAAAAATTTTTATCTAATTATCATACATATTAAAATTTACTTTTATAATAGTTTTGTACTTTATTTATATTAATAGTTGTATTTATATTGAATATTTGTTTTAATTTGCTAGGTATGTGACTTTTTTTAACAAATACTTTATATAACTTATATAATTGAATTATATTTACATATATTTAATATAAAATTGACATATGTTTAGCTAACTGTAAATTATTTATGTATTTAAATTACACTTTAGAGTACAGTAGTACAGTATATATCCAAWTTATCTCACATAATGTTTAAGAGATTATAGAAATACTTTTTAAAAATATTTTAATGTTTAGAGGATATCTATATAGATATAAACTAATTTTTTAAAAATAATTAATTATTTACTTACAAGTTAGTAAAATATGCATAAATTCAAAATTATTTATTAAATATAATTATGTAGAATAAACTAATTTGAATTTTATACATTATTTGTAATATATAGTATATAGTTTTTATGCATTATTAAAATAAAATTTAGTTAATTTAACTATTGAATACATTTACCTCTAACTTTATATTTAGTAAGTTTGTTGTTATCAATAATAAATGTATGACATCATCATTACTACTACCACACCATAGCCACCAAAGATAAAAACATTAACAATAACGACAACATTGCTATAAAAAAGAGTTAATTAAAGTTGTGATCCGTTAAGTCTCAGTGATTGGCCTTTAAATTACAAGAGTTTTTTTCATTTGGTCTGACATTACTTTACATTTAATGTCAAAAAATTTTGTATACAATAAATGTTTACTTATTTATAGAAATTTGTTTGTTTGACTATTTTAATTTGTAATTCATTAAAAAAACTAAAGATATTTGAATATAAAATGACTAAAACAGATAATAATATAGCATATATACAGTATATATATATAATTTATATATATAGTGTATATTATACACATAAAAATCATACATTCATAGTATGTATTACACACACATATACACATTGAATTAATTAATATATTATAACTTTTAATAAAAAAAATTATTTGATAAAAATAAACCAAAATCTTGTTGTTAACTAAATCTATTGGTTGTTTTGTTAAAATTTCTATTAATATAATCTAAACTTTATTATAATTGTTATAAAATTACTAATCTTAAAAATAATATTTATTTATTTATTATGTTTGCAAATAATATAAAAAATGTTACTATTTATTTTTACTCCTATTATATAATTCATATTTTTTTGTATTTTTTAATATTAAATTTTATACAGTATTCAAAACAAATAAACAAATAATATTTATCAATGAAATGATAATTATAGTATATTTTATAATCAATTTCATCATTAATTAATGAACACTAATTAACGACAAATATTTATTAGAATCTGTTGTCATTATTTAGTAAAGTATTATTTCTTTTATAAAAAAATAAATAAAATTATTCATTAAATTTAATTCCTTTTTTATTGATTGTTACCGGTATTTATATATATATATAATAATTAATTAATTATTGTTTTATTTTTATAGCAATTTCAGTATTTGTTAATCTATTGAATAGTATAATAATTAGCAATAGGATTTTTTGTTGTTTAATTATTTGAAACTTTTAACGCTAGTATATACTGTATATAAAAAGATAGTAAAAATGTTTGTGTGTTAATGAAAATTAAATTTATTGCTAAGACAATATGCGATGCAACTGATAAGCCCCATGTATTGACGTCTAAAATTATTTTAATTAAATATAAATTTAATTTTCTACACTATATTGTTGTATAACTAACTGTATATAAGATTTATAATTATATAGAGTATATAGACTTAAATTTGTTTTGTAAATTATTTATATATACTGTACACATATATTGTGTTTTATGAAAATTTTAATATAAATTTATATGGGTTTTAATTGATTTAAGATGTACTATCCAATCAAAACTATAATACACTATTGAAAACAATAATAATAATAATATCAATTAAAGACACATTGAACCCGGATTTAATGGTTAACCATTGGTTAATCTTGTATTTATTAATTGGACGAAACAAACAATTAAATCTAACAATAAATACTAAACAGCATATTTGTGATAAAAATTTTACTGTTAATAAATATTTAATAAATTTGTTTTAATTTTTGAAAGTTCAATAACATTATGCAAATCTACTGAATAATATAATATTTACTAAAACAATTTATTTTCATTAATTATCATAACATCACTCATAATTAATATTTTATATACATTTAAATATAAAAAAATTAAACATTTTTGTGTAACAAACTTATTTATTTTAGTTTTATTATATATTATATCACATATTTATAAATAATAAAAATAAATAAATTTTTGGTTTAGATTTATTTAGATATGATTTTATTTTATTTATTCATTACTCAACAAAGTATACTAAAGTTTGTCTATAGCTAATGATAATAATTTATAATTATTGTACAAATAATTAATAATAATAACAAACCTATTGGTGTGATATCGTTTAAATACAATCTTTAAACCATTTATTATATATTTTTTTAAAAATAAAATAACAAAATAATACATATACTGTAGAAACAAATAAATTTCAATACAATAAAAACAAAAAATAAAAACAATATAAAAAATGATATGAAAAATTATAAAATAAATATTAATATATACAATAAGAAAATTTATTTATTTATTTAACATATATATATATATATATATATATATATATATATTTATTTAGACTGTATATACCATTTTATATTAGATAGCATTTTTGGCATAATCAACATCACGTTTTTTAAATCTAATGCCATCGGATGCCCGCATCAGTTTCTCCCTGAGCTTAATAGCTGTCTCTAAATCCATTTTATCGGCGCCGCCATCGCCCGAATCCAAACCGTTTCGACGAAACCGTATCCTATCGGCTGCTCGTAACTGATTCTGTCGCGATCTGACCAACGACTCGATCATCGATTTATCCGACTGTAGCCTCTGATCCCGCCGATAGGGTAGAAGCTGTTGGCGTAGGTCAGTGTCGTCAAAAATGGCCCAATTGGCCAATGGATTGGCCAATACATCCAGACATACATTTGATAATATTATTATTAATATAACGTTTGTTGCCATTTGATTCATATTTGACATTATATTATATATATATATATATATTAGTTGACACACTATTTAAAACGTTTTCTTATTTTACTAATTAGTCGTAATTCAAGTTTTTGAAAGTATTTAAAAGATAACGATTCCGTTGAATATATGCAATGAATTATATGCAAACTGTAGATAAATTTGAATAAAAATTTTTGTTTGTTAATAAATTGTGATAAATAAATGTTGTTATATTCAAGACATTTTAAGTGACAAAACAAATGCTGTTAAGAATATTCTGTATATATATATATATATTTATATTTATACTGACAATGTGTTTATAAATTCAATATACAGAATATTTGAGAGTAAAGCATATGTAAGCTCACGATATGTAAGTTTGATGATTGAAAAGGTCGTGAATTTGATTTATCGCTTAAAGCATAGCGAGAGTGAGAGAGAGAGAGAGAGAGAGAGAGAGAGAGAGAGAGAGAGAGAGAGAGAGAGAGATAGAGAAAAAACTAACTTTATCGTTGGAGACGATAAAAGACAACTATTTTTTTTATTTTATTAATAATATAAATATATATATTATTTGTGTTTATATATATAGGATTCACACACAAAGACAAATATGAATTCTCAAAATAAGAAAAATGATTTATATTTGTGTTGTTGTTGTTGTTGTTGTTAAGTTTGAAAACAATTTAATACTTTTTCTTAAAACGTTTTTGTGTAAAACGTTGTGAACTTAACTTATTACTATACTGTACTATACAGTACTGTACTATCTCTTGTGTATTGTCTCACAAATAGATGGTTATCAGTGCAAGAGTAGAGATTGACTGATTCAACCAACAAAAAAAAAATACTAAAGTAATTGAACCAACAATAAGCATATAACATGGTTAGTCTATTAGTTATATTGTATAGAAATATATTTATAGAAATATATTGATAATTACCTAATAGGAGGTGGAAGCTATATAATCAGGAGATTGGGTATCATATTATATTGAGTTTAGTTATATATAGACAACCGATACCATTGAAAGTTATTTCATGCGACAATGCATTTGTACGCCTCTCATCTTATCCAACAATAAAAATAAGTTTTTATGAAAAAATCTTATTATTTCTCTTTCTCTCTCTCTCTCTCTCTCTCTCTCTCTCTCTCTCTCTCTCTCTCTCTCTCTCTTACTATATTTTAAGTAAAAAAAGGTGATTTCAATAGGAAGACCTTTTTTAACTGAAGTCAACATTTACTTTAAGCAATATTTTAGTTTATCTACGAAAATATCAGAATATATATATTTATATATACAAAGATTTTGATTTTATTGTTATTTAAACTACAATAAGAGTTTTTATATTAACTAAAAAACTAGAAAATTGATATATATCTAAATATAAAGCTTATAATCAACAAGTTTATCCATAACTAAATAACTTGGATAAAGTCTAGTTAACTGAAAATTTTAATAACGTTATTCTATATACTTTATATATATATTGAAATATCTAATACACACACTAAATTGAATTTATGTTAGTATATACACAAAAAAAATATTTATACAATTATATTTTTAAATCAATGTGAAATTTACTAACATTAAAACTTTTTAAATTAAAAAAAATAAGTAAAGTATATTTAAAGAAGAGTAATTTATTTTTCAAAAAATATAATAAAAGATAAATAAATCTACTAATCATTTATTAATACTATTATTATAAAAATTCTCAGATAAAATATTTTTATTTAATTTTAATAAAACACACAAACCTTTTAAAAATATAAGATTTTTAGAAAAATTTTCCAAATATATTGTTGGTCTGATTGATGAGTAAGTAGTATAAAATGAAAACTATTTTTATGGTAACTTATATAATGATAAAATAAAATAATCCCAAATGGTATGACTTATGTTACGTGGAATCAGTACTGGTATTAAAAACTTTTTTTTTGGATTCACTTTATGTGTGGTTATAGAAATTTATATATATATATAGATAATATATATATATATAACTTATGTGAGCGTTTTAATTTTTAAGAATACTGTTCCTCACATATAACCGGGTAGTTTTATACGGTTACACCATTATATAGGTATATAACTCTATATAATTGAATTGAATGAGTTAGTGAGTCAGTGAAATAACGGTGATGTCGGTAGTAAATAGGTGTATGTGCGCGCATACATATAGATCTCATATATAAATATATAAAAACTTATGTTTTATGGACTAACACATACCTGTCTAATGTTAATAATGATGATGTTTGCCAATGAATTTGATGATTATGACAATTCATAACACCAAACTATAATTTGGTTATAAACGGTGAATAATATTTTTTTATAAAAAATTAATAAAAACAGTTTAAAATCTAAATAAAAACATTTGTTGATGTAATTAAAAATGTTGTTGTAATCACACTTAAAAATTAGTTGCCATTTATTTAAGCATTTATTAATTTTTGTTTTGTATTAATAATTCTCTGGAAAAATACAAAAATAAATTAATAAGTTAATTATTAATATAATATTTTAATTTAAATAATATTTTCATAAATTTTTATATACCTTATAACTTATTAAAGCATACAATTATTTATATTTTAAACTGAATTTATCGGTAAAAATTATAGTTGATTTTATTTTTTTAAAATCAAATAAATCACATAAACATAGAAAATATATTTAAAAATTATTTATCAATTAATGTGTAATTAATTTGAAACCTCGTCTAATTAAACTAATAAACAGATAAACAAGTATTGGGAGACAAAATAAAAAATAAAAATAATCTCAAAGTTGTCACTGTCTATGCAAACAAATTGCATATTTGTTTTATCAATTTTATATCGTATATATAAATAAATAAATTATAGTTACGTAATACAGTAATATTATAGTTGATAAATTAAAATTAATACACGGCGTGTTTTTAATAAAAATACAAAAACAATTTCTAATGAAAATCAAATTAAATTATAACATTAGGATATCATTAAATATTAGTATGAAAAACACAAATTCAAACAAATTAATTAAAAAACTTACCACTTTATGCATGTGTTTGTGTATGTATTTAATGATACAGTTTGTCTAAACTAATAATATATGTAAACTCAAAGTTATTATTAAAAAGTTATTTCACAAATTAATTTTAAATATATATATACTGTTCTTATTAAATGTGATTTAAATATTAACAAAATTTAAGTAAATATCAACACACTTATAGTGTATTAAAAATTTCTAAACTCATAGTAAAAAAGATTTAACTTTTCGTAAAAATAATTTTATTTCTTTATTAAAATGAATATATTTTATGGAAAAATTAAAAAAACGCAAAATAAAGTGGAATTAAAATTAAGTAAATTGTTATTCATTTTGTAATCATATCTTGTTTTATGATTAATATGAATAATATTACAAATAAATATAAGTTATAAAAGTTATAAACATTTTAATGTGATAAACAAAATAACAAACATGTGAATAGTCTCAAGTGTGCTGTTTTAGGATCATATTTATTAAATTTTTTGAAAGTAAACTTTTACATTATATCATTATATAAGTTATATAAATTTAATATTTATTTTATTTATGATTTTCTTATATACAATGTGTTTTTAAAATATTAATAATTTATTGTGCTATAACATAATAAAATTGTTTTATATTGTATACGAAAAAAACAATTTAAAAGTCAAAGCTAATTAAAAAGTTAAATTAATTAGATTTTATTGTTTGTTAAAGTATTTGTTTCAATTTTCTGGACATATGAAATGCCAAATACAACTATCAATTAAATGTACATTACTTTTATACTATTTTTCAAAACAATTATAAAATTTGTCAACTAACTAAATAGGTTTAATTATCATGTAATACTTAATTGTTTTAGATAAATAATATATTATATATTTTGTGATGATATATGAGCAATTTAACATTACAATTAATATAATAATAATAAATACTACAATATTTATTATACCACAATAATTAGTATTATACAATCAATCAGTGTTTTAATAGATAACAAATCATATAATTATCAAAAGTAACTTAAGACAACATTTATTGTTTATTTATTAAACAAAAAAATATAGTGTATAAAAATAGTACAGTATTTCACATTTTATTAGTTTTATCCATGAATTCTCTATACTATAATATTTCACATAATAATCATTGATGATTAATATTGCAATGTTTTTTTAATGGTGTAATTAATACATACATCTATTTATATCCAGTGACATATTCGTTATATTAATATTACAATTCATTATTAGAGTATGTTTTATATTAATCTTGTATTTAATACATTTTTATATTATGATTTGCATTGTTTTTGAAAAATAGAAAAAAATTCATAAATTAAACAATTGTTTGTTTTTAATTTTCTACTCACACTTATAGTACACTTATTATTATTATATTTTATTAATAAAGTTTACTTAATAAACTACTATTCATTATGTTTGAAATTCAGTACAGTATATGCCATTATATTATGCTTTTTATTAATAAATATTAAAACAAAATTAACTAAAAAGTCATGTGAATCCCATTGAATAGACGTAAATGTATTAAACATTAATAATGATTCTTACCATTAATTTAATACCATTAGCTAATATTTTAGTATAATCTATCAAAAAATGTTATTCATTGTTAATAATAGTTTTATTTTCACAGTTAGCCTCTCAATAGACTAATGGCAATAAATAAACAAAATAAATATAAGTCATTAAACTCTCACTGTTTGGAAAATTAATGAAATTGAAGCTTAATTTTCAGGTAATATATTGTCAATATTGTCAGTATGTCACTAGTATTATAATATATCAAAAATTATTTTATGATATTATAAATAAATATTTCAGGTTTAAATATAAAAGTAATTATAATTTTTAAACATAAGCTGGATCTTATAGTTTAATGTATTGTAAATTTTTAATTAAGCTCTTAATTTGTAGAATAAAGATAGTTTACAATAAAAATAAAAAATAATAATAACATTTAATTTAATTAATAGACATAAAGACGGTAACTAATTATATACAAAGAAAGTCATGCGATAGCTAACAGATATATATATATATATTATTTAAAGGCAAATATATTTCAATATAATAATTACATTGATCTATAAAACCATTAAAATATTATACTTGAAATAGTGTGTGTAAATATAACTAAATTTATCTAGTCAATACGTAAATAATTTCTAAAAATAACCATGCTAACAACGGGGTAACTTAAAACCATATAGTATATGTATTTAAGTGTAAAATGTTTATCAGAATATCATATATCAATCAAGTATTGAATTATTTATATTATTATTATTATAATTTAACTATTTATTTATTTTTGTATATCACAAATACTGTATATGATTTTTTTTTGTAAATAACATCAAATTAAAGTTAAATTTTTAAATAAATGTTTTAATTATGCAGTTATTCAATACATACTAAAAAATATAATTAAAAATAAAAAGATTTTAAAATAAAACATAGTTATATATAAAGGTATATTAATTTATAAAAGTTCATTATATAATTTCTATAAGTCTATATACCTGTATATTCTATTATACAGTATATATGATATTAAATAAAAAAATAAACTATTATAATTATTAATTATTATTATTATATACAGTATATAATAGAGTATATATGTATATAATTTTATAACATTTAACATATAAAATAATTTTTAAAATATTCAATGTAAATTTTACAGCAAAAATTATTTTTATTATTTAAAAAAAAATCTACATAAGCTAGCAAATTAGAATCAGTAAATAATATATTTTATTTATAGAACAAAATATTTAATAATAATATAAATATGATAAAAAAATTTATCTTGGACAGTTATATTTAATAATAATTTTTCAAATAATAGTTTATACTAATCTTCTATTTTATAATTATTAAAAAATTCCAAAAACATGTGAAAGTTAAAAAAAATATTTTTATAACATTTGAATATCTAATATAATTAATGGAAATATAGAACCTAACCTAACCTAACCTCCATGTGCTAGAATAGCTGTGCTTATTTTTATTTAAAAAAACATTTTATATATTCAACTCAACCAATATCAATGTTTACAAATAAAACATGTTTCATCTCACATTCATTTCCATAATTAAATTATTATTTAAATTAATTTTTATCTATATTTATATTAAATTTTTATATATAGTCAAAATTTTAGTTTATACCGGTATATTAAACACATTTTGGGTTTCCGTTAACATGTAGTTAAAAATCAATAACTCAATCAATAAATAATCAATAATTTTATTTATAGATCAATATTTATATATATATTTCCAGAATTACAATACAATAATCTATTTAAATCTTTATAAAATATAATAATCTTAACAATAAATATAAATCAAATGTAACTGATTTTTTTATATCTTGAATATACAGTAAATAATATATGAAAAATCTCTAAATAAATCAAAAATATTTAACTAATAAAATATATATTAAAAAAGTCTTTATAAACAATAATATTTAGAAATCACATTAAATACTCGGGAATTATAATAATATTAGACACTCTTTAATAAATTTACTAATCAATTATATATTATTATTATTATCATTATATGTGTTGAGTTTGTTGAATATTATGAGCCAATGATGGGTCTGTACTACCTATGCCTTACTCGATAGCTCTTTACTACGTCCCGTATCCTTCTCCAGTTGTTTACCCAAATACTCCCTTTAATTGTTATAAAAATAAATATATATAATATAATTACAAATATAGATATTTGACAAATTTGAATAAACATAATAATATTTTTAAAATAGTTATCCAATTCAGACTCATTAAATCAGTAGTAATTAACCCTCAGTAACAATCAGGTATCACAAAAAGCAGTCATCATTAAGATAGTGATTCATTTACGATAAGTATTCAATATTGTTTAAATATATGACATTTATCATTACCGTAAGTTCATGGCTAACACTTATAATTTATATTACATGTATTACAAATAAATATAACATATGTCACAATAATTGTTTTAAAAAAAACTAACCATTTCTGAACCATCAGCTTCTGAACGCATAGAAGTGCTTCATATCTGACATTAGGATCTTCATGAGTAAGTAATTGCATCACTAGGTGTTTACCGCCTAAATTTTCAGTCACACTATTTGTAGAAAAAAAATTATTGTGAAATTTAAATTATAGTTACTATATATATATATATACTGTATATTATAGGCATAATTTTAAATGATGAATGTGTGGGGGATTGAAAATAAAATTATAGTTAAGACCTCACTAAACAAATAAAACCTTCAACTAAAACATGCAATTTTCAAATAACATCATAATTATGGCAATATTATTGATTATATATATAGAGTATATAAATTTGAATTTCAAAATAAAATATTTTGCTTTCAAAACATACACTTTGCCTCTGGCGTAGTGACGGACGTATTCACCCAAATCATGTGCCGCTACCGACAGCACCAGTGGATCTTTGCTGGTCTCAAGAAGTCGTACCAAAATCTTCAGCAACTCGTAGTTCTTTTCATTGAGTCGACCGGCGTTTTCGCGCCAAAACTTTTCACTCGAATGCACGGGTGACCACTCGAGTCGGCCTGACTTGACTTCGGTAGCGTATTCGTCAAAAGAGGACAAGTCCTGGACTGAGGCCAATAGACGTTCAGTTAAAAAGTCGATATCGTCTTTGATGTCCGGGTCGTCAAACTTTTGGCCCGACTGTTGCAATATTTCCAATTGTTTCAGTACCTGATTGAATGAAAACAAAAAGCAATCATATGTTAACAATTTATTTATTTAAAATAGTTTTTTATTGAGCACTGGTATGTGTCGTCACCAACCTTGCACTGAACCATAGTTATGGCGTTATCTCTGGATATATCTGTATCGATAGGCTTTTCGATCAAATTCTATTATATAAAAATAAAATATACAAATAGTTAATAAATATCTAAAAATAATAAATTTGTTATTTAATTAAAAAATAATCCAAAAATTCAATCAATGCTCAGACTCATTAAATCAGTTAATAAATGCCGCATTGTATACATAGGCTATTATTAAGTGTCATCATTGCAGATATCATATGTGGAAAATATACCAATAATTATATAATAATTTATAATAGTAAAATTAGTTTCATTTATATATATCATAAATCATTAATAATAATAAATAAATTAAATTATAATAAAAAARCTCAAATAGATAACTAACCCTGAATGTGGCCAGAGTCATTCGGGTCACTTTCTCTTTGACCGCTTCGGACAGTATATCTGCGAGCACTGGTATGATATTGTATTTATTCATTTTGGTGGCCAATGGCTCGTTAAATGTTAATATCCATAGACAAAAGCATAGCTGATATTGTATTTGAAAGTTGACTCTACCAGACAATACCGACACAATGGTAGTGATGCCGTCCATCGAGACAAACACATCCCGATAGCGGTCATTCTGTAGCATCATTTGCAAAGAACGGGCGATAGATTGCAGATATTCATTGCCCTATAAATACAAATAAATCATTAAAATAATAGTTTTTAACTAATAATAAAATATTCATAAAAATAATACATAAATAATTATTTGCAAAAATAGTTATCTTTCAGACTCATTAAATCAGTTGTAATTAGCCCTCAGTGACAACAATCAGGATCACAAAAACAGTCATCATTAAGATAAGTGATAATCATTATACCATAAATATTATTGTTAATAAAAATAACAATCAATTGCTTACTGATAACTTCAATTGATCCCTAAGCCATGTTAGATACAGATTCAGATCCGATCCTTCAATCGGTTCACTGGTTGTCCAACAGGCGATCTTTGCTATGATTAGAGCAGTCTATATATATATGTGACATAAAATGGTGACAAAAAAGATAAATAAAAATTATTAATAAAAACAACAAAAGATGACAAAGACATGACATCCCAACCATATTCTGGATAAACGTGTCGTTTCTGTTCAATAGATTGAGGAATGTATTCCAGACGCTCTCCTTCTTCTTCTTCGAGTATTCTTTGAATATCTCGACTCTGGATCTGTCATCTAATATCAAGTCATCGATCAGACAGAGTATGTATTGGATGGTCTGATCTTTGGATATGTGACCCAACAGTGCATTGAATGTTGTGGCGCATTGCGGTCCGTACTGACCGAGCAATTGGTTTCGTTGGTCGGCAGCGGTCGACGACTCCAATTGGGTTATGAATTGGTAGTCTTCCTGTGACATCATCTGCGACTTCAGATACGACTGCCAATTGACTCGTTGTTGTCGTATGTCTTGAGCCCTCTTATGCAACAATGAAGTCGCGGCCAATACACCAGTCTTTTCAATTTCATCGATGGATATCATTGAATCCAATTTTGCCGATAAATTGGTCATATTTTTTGTTTGATTTGATTACCGAAATCAGTGGTCAATTCAATTCAATCAATCAATTGTATTGTTTTGTTGTTATCAATACAGTGAACACACATTACAATAACGCCCATTAAATAYATGATATTATTAGTCGTATCTAACAATCAATTACGTCTCTCTCTCTCTACTATTATTGTACACTATTATTGGTAGGGTTTGTAATGTTCCCTATGATGCTCTCTAGGAATTCCCAGGGAATATATTTCCATGTGAAATCACCTATCAAACCCTAATCAACACAATTTATTATATATTGTCTAAAAAACAAATGTTATTTTAAACTCTATTTTGATAAGTATTAGTAAATAATATAAATAAATTTCTTGATTTAAAATAATTGAGTAAATATTTCAATTAAATCTTATTCAAAATATTTTAAGTTTTGGTATTATTTATTGTAATAATAATAAAAATTTTATTTTTTCCTTCTAATGAAATAGGAAGAAAAAAATAAAGTATTTTTCATATTTTCCGGGAAAATTGAAAGGATTTTATTAGGGAACTTCCATCCCTTTTGAATCATTACAAACCCTAACAATTGGTGATTATTATACTTTGATGAAAAATTTTCGAACATATTATTATCTATTCAATGATAACTAGAGTTGAAAATCTCGAAAACGGTTCGGTTTTTATGTTTCGGTTTCCATTATTATATTAATTTTTGATTTATTGCAAATATTACTAAAATGCTTAGTCTTTTGTTATTGTTTTTGATTATTCATTAAACAATTTTACAAAATTATTATTATTATAGAATTATACAAAATTATTATAATAAAAAAATGTAATTAATTTTAGTTTTAATATATAATGTCAATGTATTTTTGTCAATGTATATTAGAAAAAATATTACATTAATTTTCATATTATATTCACTGTTTAATCCTATTAACTAAATAACGGTTTGGTTTTTTTTTAAATAATTGGAATTTTTCTTAATCTATTCTTTGGTTTGGTTTTGGTTCGGTTATACTTTTGCTTGACTTTAATATATTAATTATAATTTATACGGTAATACTAATACTGTAGAATAACTACAATAGTTATGTAATTATATATATATTTTTATTTTTATACATAAAATTTTTGTTGTTTTTTTTATAATTTTAATGCTATTCAATGTAGTAATAGTTATATATATATTAATAGACAATTCAGTGCTTTTCAAAAATAGGTTTCGTTATATAAATTTTATTTTTCGCCAAAATATTTTTCTTTTAGATTTAGATTTTATTTTTCATTCACTATAACTCAAATCAATGCTTAGTTTGTGATTTTGTTTTTTGAAAAATTTTTGTTTTCAATTATTATTATTTTTGTTGCATATACTGTGTATTCAGTTGCCATACGTTTTGAAAATTAATAATAAAAAAAATAAATATTTTTGTTAGACTTTTATTTTGTTATTACTTTATTAATACTATTCACAGTATTTTTGTTTATTATTATATTTATTTATTTTTTAATAGTTTTTATTTTTCATTTTAGGCTATAATTTATATATTTCTCTCTATTTGTGTGTAATTATTATTATTACTATTATTTTTTTGTTGTTTGTTTTGTCTCGATATATGCAAAACCTTATTGTTTGTAGACCTCAAACACGAAACCCGTTTCTATCGCTTATCTTATATATTATTATTTTTTATTTATTATCATTTGTGTTATGTAACCAAACATCTACTGTATTAACAATAAATAAAATATACGGTATTTAATGTTATATATTCATTATATAATATATTAATACAATTTTGATCAAACATTTTCATACAAACCTTTATGAAAAATGCCTTATATTCTGCCAGTGCTTATAATTTTTAATATAYATAGCATTAAAAGCTTTTTTCATTTATTTTTTGTTTTTTATTATTAGACTTTTTTTGTTATTAGTTTTGAATTTTGTTTTTATTGCAATCTATAATATATGCGTTATAAGACTTGATTTTTATTTTTTGATATACAAAATAAATTTTCTACACATTATTATTATTATTATTATTATTATTATTATTATTATTATTATTATTATTATTATTATTATTCTTTGTTTCTAACATGAAATTCTTGTGCTTTTTATTTTTTATTCATTTACATCACTCAATGTTTTATTTTTCTATATCTAATTTGAACGCAAACTCCTCGTAAAACTCATCTCTCTCTCTCTCTCTCTCTCTCTCTCTCTCTCTCTCTCTCTCTCTCTCTCTCTCTCTCTCTCTAATAATAATAATAATAATATACACATATTAAACATATATTTATTTTATATTTATATACATGTATGCAATATATAAAGTATTAAAATGCAGTCACACTATAATGTTTGAAAGATTGAGAGTATAAAAGAGTTGACGAAAATAAAGTAAAAGAAATTTTTCTTTTGTATTGATATTTTGTTTTTGTAAGTTTCACACTATTTTCCTATACATTGACTACTCTTTTATTTTTATTAGAATTTTACCCAAACTTTTATTTTGTTTATATACTTACAGTATATACTATACTATATTTTTGTTGTTTATTTATGCCATACTATTAATATATAACTCACTAAAAGTTCTCCACTATTTATATTTCGATTTTATTTTATTTTTCATTCAATAGCTTCACATATAGCTTATGTAGACTTTATTTTTTGTTGTTTTTGCCTCACGTTTTGTTTGCTATCTATTCTCTCTCTAACACAACATCTATAGCTGTAATAATAATAATAATAATAGGAATCTGTCATTCATTTTGACTCTAATTTTATTGTTGGCTTTCCTATTATCCAGAGTTGTATAGTATGCCTATTCTTAATATACTGGTATTAAACCAATAGTTTCTGTATATATGTATGTATGTATGTRTGTGTGTGTGTGTATATGTATGTGTGTGTGTGTGTGTATGTATGTATGTGTGTGTGTTGCGAACCTTTGCTTTCTGTATTGTTTAAATCGATATTTGTTTTATGCCTTTTCCAGAATTTTGTTATTTTGAAGGCTTGTATTGTATTAAAAGCGTGGTTTATATTACCTTTGAATTACAGTGACTTTTTTAAAGCATCAATTTGTTTGCATCGATTTTGACGTAAATATTAAAAGTTAGTCTTAAAGACAGGAAAAAGAAGTGTTTTTATAGATATTTATTGTTTTATTTATTGGTTATTATTAGCATTGATATTAATGAGAATATCTTTAAGTAAGTTAAATGAATTATCAAATTATATTTTTGTGAATTATAAAAATTCATATATAATATATAATTAAATTTATTAAATAAATCTGAGATTTGAATTTTGATGATATTAATTAAATTATATATTTCTAATTTTTAAAAAATAAATTTTATTCATTTATATTGTTTTAATTTTGTTTGAAAAACCTAACCTATTAAGAGATATTCAAAGATAATGCTTCAATAAAAATATTTTTATGTTAGTGGCGACACATACCTGTACTAACGATAATGTTATTAATGAATATACAGTCAAAACAACAACAAAAAAGTTTTATTTCCATAGAAGTTAAGTTTAGTTATTATTATTATTAAATCATTGATACACCTAATAGTACTATAATTATGTAATCAATTATAAATCTCATAACTGAAGGTTTTTAATTGATTAGTGAATCATAGTTTTATTTTAATCCTACATTCATTAGTTAAAAATTATATTTAATTATATACTTATGATATAATTTTTAAAAATATTATTTTACACAAATAGTTATGACTAAAAATTTAGACGATAATCACCTAATCATGCATTTGATTAAACATAAAGATTCTAATGTCATATATTTATGTAAATATTTTCATGGGTTCCAGAAACTGGTGTTTTTAAAAATAGTTATTTTAGTCGTTTTGAATATAAATATTATATTTATTTATAAATAAATAAAATATAAGTTGTCTCCAGTAAATCATAAGTAAAATTAGAAATTAGTTTTACTAAACAATTGAATTAAATAGTGAAAAACCCTTTTATATATAAATATATGAATTATTAAATGGATTTACAACGAAATTATACAATAATAAAATAAAAGAGTCATTTATTCGAAGAAAACTTTTTAAATTTTTACTTTTAAATATACTTTACATTTATATTACTATTTATATTGTTTAGTACTTTTTACTAAATTATTATTAATATTTATTATATTATTAATATATTATTATTTTTTCAAAATGTTTAAATATATAATACAGTATTTAGTATTCACATTAAATTCTAAATAAAATTGTCGTGTTTTTTGTTGATTGAATTGCATTATTATTCAAATTGATTAGCATTTAAAATAAAAATAATTTAATTAGAAAATTGCAAAATCGTAATTGCTAATACAAATAATTAATAATACAACAATAATAATCATATATATAAAATAATGATAATGCTAAATTAGCATTGCTAATAATAATAATAATCAAAATCAAGGTTAAAATTTTAAACCATATTATTTTGACTATATTTAAAAATAGACAAAAATAGGCGTTGTTTCACAAGTTGTGTGAGTTGTGGTAAAAACCAAATATATTTTGATTATTGTTTTATTTTTATTTTAAAAATAAACAAAAATTTTATTACAATTATTTTCGATATAATTGATTAGCAAATAGTTTGGTAAAAGGCCTTCAGTTGCGAAAAAAAAGTTTTCGGTAAAAAACTTCATTAGCGGTAAATATTATGCATTTATTTGATTTAATATCAATTTGTCAATAAAAGTTTTAGTTAATGTAGTAATTATTGATATAAAAGTTTATATATACCATATGCTGTATATAAAATAAAAATAGTTATTGATTACTATTAATGATATGAAAGAGAAAGAGAGAGAGGAATAGAGTTAAAGGATTGCTATAATTAATAGGAAAGTCATATAAATGTAATCCAAGAAACCAAAAAATGCCTGAATCGATACTATTTACTACTATTACTATTGGATTAACTTTTTTGCTCAGTTATATAACATACAGAATATTCTGTTTTTATAAACGCTATTTCCTGTACCCTAAAGGTCCGATACCTTTGCCATTAATTGGAAACATTTTATGTAAGTCATACTATACTGTAATACTATTTTTTTCTCAAAAAAATTGCTGTTTATTTTTATTGATTTACATTACTTAACATATATATAGTATTTAGAGGACATAAATTGCATCCATTGGAAAGTTTTCAAGAAATTCGTAAAAAGTATGGACCGATTTATACATTTTATATGGGAAGCGATCCCTATGTTATTATATTTGATCTGAAAATTGCAAAAGACTTGTTTAGTAAAAGCTGTTTTTCAGGTCGACAAATATCATTGATAGGTCGGTGCGAATCAAATAATAATTTAGTATTATGTTTTGATTATAGTTTTAAAAAAAATAATATATATTAATTTGTGTTGAGCCGCACAGGTAGTTTCATATGTAGTGACAATGCAAACGATATTATATTTTGCGATTACAGTGAAAATTGGCACTCATTAAGGACTGTCTTCAAGTTGGCTGTCCGTAAATATGCGTCAACTCAACAATTAGCTCAAACCATTAGCCAAGTGGTAGACAACACCGTCAAAGATAGTATAATCAATGAATCGGTTGGCCAACCATTTGACCCAAAAGATTGTATTGAAATTATCTTCTATTGTGTGGTACTATCCATAGCTTTTGGTAAAATGTATGTATAGTAAATAATTTATAATAACTGAAAAAATTTAATATAAATTAAATAATATACAAAATTAAATTTTTTTATTAAATACTAGATTTACATCCAAAGACCAGGAGTATCAACGACTTCATGAGATAACTGACCGGTTCTTTCAATTGGGCGATAAGTTGGCACTCATCGAGTTTGTACCGATATTACGGTTACCATTGTATAGATATGTCCAGAAATTTCATGGAGTGATCAACGATTATAAGAAACTTATTGCCGACAAATTGGATGAACACATCCAAACCTATGACAATAGGAAAGGGATCCGCGATTTTTGTGACGCTATGATCGCAGCAAAATTAGAGGCTATCGATAGCAACAAAGAGTCGGCCCCATATTTGACTGACCAGAATATAGCACTGGCCATGTGGGACATATTTGTAACGGCCACCGATGACACCCAATTTTCGTTTCACTGGATGCTTATACTACTGGCCAACTATCCCGATGTTCAGCAACAAATACGAGATGAAATTAACCAAAAAATAGGCCATAAAGTTGCCATTCAGGAGGACATTGATGAATGCCATTACATTAATGCCTTTATATCGGAAACGTTGCGCTTCAGATGCGCCAATCCGTTAGGTGTTCCCCATAAAACAATGGCTAACACTGAGATCGGTTAGCGTTTTAAATATCTTTATATAAAAATATCAATTTTAGATAAAATACATTATTTTAAATAATTATATTTTCAGATGGATTGTCGATACCGGCTCAGACAACAGTGATTGTACACCAATACTCTATACTGACTGATCCAAAGTACTGGTCAGACCCGCTTGTGTTCAGACCCGAACGATTCATGGAAAACGGCCGATATGTGTCTACCCGACCGCAAGCCTACATACCATTTGGTGTCGGCCGACGCAAATGTTTGGGCGACCGACTGGCCCTAAACGAACTGTTTCTCATATTAGTCCAGTTTATGCAATCAACTAATGATTATGATATCATACTGCCTGCCGGTCCAGAAACTGCTGATCTAAAGCCAAACCCGGATCAAGTGGTTTTGTTTTGTACACCAAAACCCTATAAAATTGCGCTCAAAAAACATGACAAATAAAATTACATTTATTATTATTATATAATATTAAAAATATATTTTTACATTTTACAAATAATTTTACTTAAGATTGATTAAGACATATTAATTTTGTATTTTTTTGTTGTTGTTATAACATTATATGTAAAAATGAATATGTATGTAATGTATAATCTTTATATATTAATATTAATATAAATAAAAACAATTGATTAATTTACTCATTGATATTGATAAATTATCAATGATAATAAACTTGAAAATTTAGAAATAGAAAATATTTTACGTCTAAATTTAAAATTATTTACTATAATATTTAAAAATTGTTTACATTTTTATTCATGTCTTCTTATTTGTGTACATTAAATATATAATTAACAAAAATTGTTATATTTATTATAAGTAAAAATAATAACAATAATTTTATTGGCACAAAAATAGCTCAGTAATTATTTTTTTTAACATAAATGTTATGATTGATTAAATTAAATACATTATATTTAATTCATATGATATCATTTTATAACTTAGTTTCAACTTACAAAACAAACCATTATTAATAGGATGTACACATAATTATGACATTATACCTTATTTATACGATATAGTTTAAGCTAGGTTATTTATCAAATTATTTCTATGATATTTATATAATAAGCTATAATATTTTATCTTATTATAAACATAGACTAATAAATATGACCATATAAATATTACTAAAATAATAAATCATCTTGATATATTATCTATATATATATTATTCATAATACAAGATATTTTGTTTTTTATAATAATAATGTATTATTAATTAATAAAAATATTTTAAATAAGATATATATATTATATGTTTATTAATTACCTTAACAATAATATTTTTCTTAAAAAACATTAATTAATAACATTTATGTAATAAATTAAACTTTTAATAATATAATTAAATATTAGATAAATTATTTTTAAAATAAATCATTATTAATTAAAATTATTCAATAATTACAAAGTGATACAAATACACTTACAAAATATATAATTAATATATGTTTTTTGTTGTTGTTGTATACGCACCGGTATGTACTGTAGTTGTGTATATAAATGATTGGATACAACTTGTAAATTTAGTATATTATTAATAATTATATAAATCTATAAAACACATACATATTAATTTGGTTGTTTGAGCCAGTTCACATCAATTTTTCAAATTATATATATATATATATATATATATATATTTATATACATTTTTTTCCCAATGAATATTTCTATTAAATAACTTTATTTAATCTCACATTTTTGTTTTGTTTAGTAAATGCCATAAAAACGGTTATTTCTCCCTTTATTTTGTCGGTCACTGTTACGGTGCTATAATAACCAGATAATATGGCCAATAAAACATATTAAACAATATGAATAATGCGGGAAATAAAACCCGACTAAATATATCTATGTCTTCGGGTTTCATATTTCGATTTAATTTCGACTTCAATACGGTTTTTGATTCGACTTTATCGCTGTTTAATGTTTGCTTATTTACCTCAACCATCGATGTCTCAGCAATACATGAGTTGTTTTGTTTTGACTATTTTTTAAATAAATAAAAAACAAAATTGACATCAAATATATTATTTTAAGTTTAATATAATTAATAATTAAATAAAAATTATTGATTTTTTGTTTTGTTTAATTTGTTAAAAATAATTGACATTTTTGGATTGTTTAATAATACTATATGTATTATATTTATTTTTAAACAATTCAACTATTATTTATAAGTTTATAGAAAAAATTATATTTTAAATAAAATATGATGTTTTAAATACAAAATAAATATAATTAATTTTTAATTATAAAAATTAATCTTAACGTTACCTTTATTAAATTAAATTTTTATTATTTGTTTTTGTATTAATTTTTTTGTTTATAATTTGTTAACAGTGATAAAAAATATCCGCATTTTATAATAGTTTGATTAATTAATATAATTACAATCTTTGAAAACTGCAATCTTCAGGATCAACTTATAATCTAATAATAAATGTTTAAATAATTTATTTACTTATAGTATTAATAATTATATTATTATAATAATTCTTTATAAATTATTATTAATAATATTAATACAGTAATGTTTTTAAAATTAATTCATAAATATGTTGTAATAACATTATAATTCATATAAAAATTAAAATAAAAGTTTTATTATAAAAATATTTAATCGTCTTTAGCTTTTAAATGCATAGTTTATGGAGATTTTAATTTTAATATAATAAAATTCAGAGAAGAGAAAAAAAGGAAAAATTATAAATATATTTAATAATATAACTGTTTGACAATAATATAATTTATATGTAAAATAAATATTTTTATAAAATATGTTTTTGATCAATAATATAGGATATAATTATCAAAAAAATCCTTTTTATATTTTAAATATTATAAAGTTTACTATTGTGTTGTATTTGAAAACTTTGAACATAAATTAATGCAAAAATATTTATTTGGATGATTTATTTTTATTGAATAAAATTGATTTTTTCTTTTATTTTTTTTACATATTTAATGATTAGTAATATGTCCTTAATCTTGACTTCAATAAAAAATCAAGTCTTAGTTGTACTGATAGTTCAGTATAAAAATCAATTCAATTTTATAAATAAAAATAAATAAATAAAATTTTCAAATATATGCTATTATTTGTTAAGATTTTATTTATAATGTATGTAAATATATTTCAATAAATGATAATACTTTTATTTAACTGATGATAAATAATCTATGATAAATAAAGTACATTTTGTAAAATTTATCATAATCTATGTTTAACCAAAAAAACAAACAAATATTTATCTAAACTAAAAAACAAAATTTTTTTAGACGACATTTACAGTGTCTATATAGTAAATGTTAACTTTTAAATATAGTTATAGAGATTCAATAAAAAATATCGATCAATATATTTTTAGTATAGTATAATATATACTGTATAAGACTTAATATAATAGTATATTAATAATATATAAGTGCAAAATGTTGTTTTACAAAATGAAATACAGTTATACAGCAATTATTATAAATTTTATATTTTTGAACAATTATTAGAGTATAATATGATACTATTGATACAATATACTAGACTATTGAGTAAACACCTGTCTGCTTGAACATTACAAACTACAAATATTTTAAAACTTAAAAAATTAATCCTTAAATAATTAGCGATAATCATTTATTTTTATACTTACAAAAATAATAGTTTATAGTAAAAGTTATTTTTTATAAAAAAATATATTGTCTCTAATCAATAGTTTCAGCTTTACTATAGACTATATATATATAGAAATTATATACCTCTTGATATCGAAATGATTTGAGTTGATGTTTTTTAGCCTTTATCCGGCTCAGGTAGTTAACCAAAGTAAATTCCAACAGTGCTGTAAACACAAATATAGTACAGACACCCATCCATACATCGATAGCCTTGGCGTATGAAACGGGCGGCAAATTACTTTGAATACCGGCCCCTAAATCACATAATACGTTAACTACTAATATAATATTAGTATACAATAACAACTAATTTATTTATTTTTTTTTACTAAATTATGATAATTAAAGTGATTATACCTTTTGATGAGATAGTTAATAGTGTGGTAACGCCTAATGTAATTCGGGCCGGTATGGCCTCAACGTCCAACCAAAATGACACCCACGAGATGACAACAATTAGTATGGTTGGCAAATACGACTGAACCAAATGATAGCCCAGTGCTCGTTGCAGATAAAACTCAGCCTTAAGACAACTGTATTCTCCTAATGTTATTTGAAAAGGCATAAAATCTTATTAAAACTTTTTAAATGTAAATTTACAAACTTTAATAACATTATTACAGTACAAACCTATATGAAATGTTTCCTTACAGAGTGTTGTATTGACATTAGTGATCAAAAATTGCGGTAACTTTAGCTTATCATACAATTTGACGGGCGATATGTCCGACCACTTCAGCATCAGTTCACTCGTTGTTTTTGAAACTATAATTATGAAAGTGTTTTGTTTTTGTTGATATATAATAGTTGTTAATATTTTTTTCAACATCAATGGGTTATGTTATTAGTTTTATGTTGTTATTATTAGTAGTGGGTGATAGATCCTAGACAGACGAATTATATTATAACACTTTATACTTTACATATTCATTATATTTTAGTGATTAATTAAAACAACATAACTATATAATGAATTATTTGAATCATCTAATAAGCTTAGGAAGAGATCAAAGTTTTTATCTCACATTATCAAAAAATAGTGAACATGACGATATATCCACATTAGAAGTTAACTTAGAAACTCCATATGAATATGGTTCATCAAGATTAAAAGTTAGTTTAAGTGAAATATCATATACACCAACATGGCAAACTTTACCTTCTGATGAAGAAATATATTTTAAATATTGGAATCAAGAAAAAAAAATTATTGATCAAACACAAAAAATTAAAATAAAAGCAGGTAATTATACAATGCAAACTTTATGTAATGAAATCAATAACAAATATAATGAATTAATAGAAAAAACAAATATAGGTTATGTATTAAAAGAAGATCAAAATAAATATAAGATAACAAAAAAACCAAAAATACAAGTAAACAATTTTAAAATTATATATTATCCAGGTGAACTTGAAGATAAATATTTTATATTTCCAGTATTCTCTAATGTATTAAGTAATATATTAGAAATAAAATCAACTTATATAACTTTTTTAACAAAAATATTAGAAATAAATTATAAAATGTCTAATTATGAACAAATTTCATTTTTATATGGTGGAGAAATAAAAAAATATATACCTAATGGTTTAACAGAATTTTATATTCAAATTGATAATTTAGTTTCAAATTTATATATTAATAGTAAAAAATTTACTAAAATTTTACAAAAAATTAATATACCAAAAATAGAAAATGATAATATGATTACACAAAAAATATTAGATCCTATATATAGTCAAGTAGTTGGAGAATTAGGAAAAAGTGGAAATGAATTAAAAAATATTAAAATAAAAATTCTTGAAAATATTGACGGAAAACTGTTACCATTTAACGGTGGAAAAATCTCGTTAACATTACATTTTATTAAACAAAATTAAATATATATTGTTTAGTTATAATGGAAGAATCATTTTTTTACACAATAACAACTGGTTTTAAAGACAGTAAGTCAACAATAAACGATACAATTTTAAAACAAAAAATTCAATTAAGTAATAATAAAAAATGGCAAGTCGGTTTAAGTGAAATATCATATAAACCATGTTGGATGACATTACCTTCAGATCAAAACGTTTCATTACTTTACTGGGATTCAAAGGAAAACAAATTACTTGAATCTGAATGTGAAATAATATCTAAAGGAAATTATAACGTCCATGATTTAGTAGAAAAAATTTCAGAATGCTATGAAAAATTAATTATTACAAATACTAATGGTATTAAAAATATAAAAGGTGATAGTAATAAAATAAAAGTATCTGTAGAACCTAGAATATGGTTACAAAATATATACGATAGTAAATGTGATAAACAAGTGATATACGAACCTGGAGAAATAGATTATAGTAGTGCAATATGGCCTGTTTTTTCACAATGCTTAGGTAAAATATTATGTTTACCACCATGTCTAATATATCAAAAAGCATATCATATGGTTGATCAATATATAAATAAAAATAAAAAATACAGATTTAAAAATTTTTTCTATGGTGCTGTAGGTAATCACCCAAGAAACGGGCTTGATACATTTTACATTACTAGTAATATAATTAAATTTTCTTATTTGAATGGAATAGATAAACAAATTTTAAGACAAATTCATGTTCCATTTATAGATGATCATGTTAGACAAAACTCTGACATTATAGAATCATTTACAAATATACAGTATTCATCACTAGTAACAAATATATTCACAGATATAAATATCAGTGTCAAACAACTTTCTCATATTTATTTGGTTGAGCTACCATTAAATGATAATCATTTTACTTTCACATTACATTTCAAGTGTTTAGATATAAAAAATGAAAACTAAAAATTTTAATCGAAAGAGAAAAGTTCAGTTTTCAAATTTAGTCAAAGTTTATTTATTTGAAGATACAAATAAAGAAGATAGAGTCGGATATTGGCATTATGAAAGAATTAAAAGACTTATTTGGGAAAGTAAACTAAAAATATTACATAGTTTAATTGAACATATATTTATTAACAGATAAAAAGAAATTTTTATTGATTTTTAAATTGATGTATACAAAATTTTATAATCTATAATAATATAATAATATGTAATTTATAATTAAAACTTTTAAATATATGTATACAATTTTATATTTTATAAATAAAAAAAGCATTACAAAGAATTATATAATTGTTTAATTATTTTATCATTATATTGAGTATTACAACTAAATAAATTTATATAATTATGAAAAACTTTAAGATATTTTAATCTATATACAATAAAACCAACACAATATTCTCCACAAGTTATACAAGAGGTACATTGTAAAGTAATATTATTGTACTTAATACCATTCGGACAATAATTGTTTAAATAGTTTATAAATTCATTATACATAGGTGGCAATCCATATGAATCGAAGTATTCCCCAGTACCATTTATATTAATAATAATTGCTATCCAATGTTTCCCTGGTTCTGAAATTAAATCTGTATTAGCAATTAAACCAATAGGCTTTTGTTTTTTATAATTAAGATGAGGTAAGGTATTTCTTGCATAGACTCCAATAAAATTAGTAATATTATGTAATTTAGATATAATTTCTGTTGTAAATACCATATTTAACGATAATCCATAAAAACACTTTTGTCAGCATAAACACTTATTAAATTATCAAATTCTAAAAATAGTAGAGCATTAACAATAGTAGTTAGTGGATTAGCAAATCGTATTTCAAATCTCATAATACCTTCTCTAGGTAGATTTACATAACCAGATTCACTATATCCTTGCGATTGATCTTGACTTAAGTTAAATGCAAAAAATGTAAATCCATTTTTAAACTGTTCCTTTGTAATTTCCATTCGTGAGCGTCCATCATATTGATTAGATATTTTAAATAAATCTAGATATTCCCTACAATATTTATTATTATCAAAATTAGGTGTATATGCTCTTCGCGGTATTTGTTCGCCATTTACATAGCAAGCTATTGAGCTTACGTCATAATGATAAAAATTATATGGATTTTTAGTTAATGATCCACTAAATGCTTCATTGCTAACAAATGCTAAATAAACACGTCTAGGTAATGGTCCACGATCAATAACATTTTCTATATTTCTACTTATAGCTCCTGAATCAATTGTTACAGCTCGAACTTCAACTCTATTTAGTATATATTTTAAAGGACCAGTTTCAACAGCTCTTTTCTGTGCAGTTAAAATATCATCTGAAATTTTAAATTTTGATACATTTAAATGTATGTCTTCGAAATGTATTTTAGGTATTAAAGTTGTATCATTAGTCAAAAAATAAAACTCAGGTCTATTAGGTATTAAACGTAATCGTATTTTATTATCTCCAGTCAAAGTTCTATATTGCATAAATAAATCAATATGTAATTTACCTTCAATTTCCACTATTTGTCCTGTACCAGCAGGATCACCTGATTTTGATTTAATTAATGGTACGCGACTTGCTTGAGGAGAATCTATCTTATCTGAAGTCATTTTATCTTCATCAAATAATTCATATTGAAGATAAGTTTTTCTTGCATGAGGTGTAGACCAAAAAACATTTTCAAAATATGCTCTATACGGATATGTTTGTAGTGAAAGTGTAGTCTGAATATCGTTAATTGATAAATCTATTTGACTCCACAAAGAATGAAAAAAATTATTTACCAAAGATACTTTATTCCAATCGGCATCGGCTATATTTCCGTTGTTAGTTTTACTTAATTTTACTCTAAAAATTACAGATAGTGTTGTATCATTTAAGCGAATATATTCTTTTTCACTTGTGTTGAAAATAAATTCAACATGTCCACCATTATTTAGTTGAGCAATAGGTCTTATTTCTTCAATGTATGTTGATGTTATAGAATTTTGAACAGGCGAATTAGAGTAAATGTCTAATTCAGGTAACGGTACTAAAGGGCTTTTTTCGTTTACTAGACTCATGTTTAACCAAAGATTGATTGAAACTTTTTGTGAGTACGTCTTGTAGTGCGTCTCTTTTTATACGTTTTTTTAATAGTACATTTAGATTTTTTAGCCCGCCTTTTTCGGCCACTTCGTCTCTTCCCTTGACCTGTTTGTGCAAATTTCATTGCTCGTTTACCCGCGTCGTTAAGTACTGTATTGCCTAATGCTTTACCTCTTGTTTTCAATGATTCGACAAAATTTTTACCATCAATTGCGTCTGTTGTAATATCTGCACCAGCATTAAATAGTTTTGGTCCTAAATATTTTAGTATAGGTAGTACTCCCTTATTGTATATAGAACTCATTATATCTGCAAAGCCATCACCTTTTTGAAATCTAATACCATTAAAACCTCCAATACCGGTACCTGCTTGATTAACGTAATAATTCAAGTAAGGGTTTGATGTCATTTTTATAATCTCTGGAGTTTTCTTTTAATCTAAAATGTAATGTTACAGCAGTATATCCAAAAGCAAAATCAATTGTTTGATCTTTATCGTCTTTAATATCAATTTCAATTGAATTAAATTTATGTAAAACTAGAGGATAATAATGTGGATTAGAATAATTTATTTCACAAGTATCACCAAAATCTTTGTTGTTAGGTATTTCTACTCGTCTTATGAGTGGTACTTCCTGATGTCCGACTAATACAGGTTCAATTAAATTACAATATACATAAAGAGAATTTATTGCTCCATTTAATGTTACTTCATGAAAACCTTCAATATAAACTTTATTTTTATTATCAAATACAGGTGCACTTCTTTTTTCTATTAAATGACTACTAGAATCTTCATCAATA